TAAATAACAACTAGACTCAAGCAGACAACTATGCACAGACTATGTAGCACAATGAAAAATTCCTTGCAGAACTGTCCTTAGAAATACTAGGCAAATCGTCTCTCCTTTTTTCACCAACACAAAATAAACAGCTTAATTCTCAAGAGATGAACTAGTATTCCAAACACATTTGATAGTTCAGTTCATGATAGTAAATGCATATTTAATTGTACAGTATGTGACAATATGAATGTGATTTAACCTTATGAGACTGGTAAAATCTATGAGATAGAGCATGTTTGAATTCTGATATTATTAATTTTGTAACCCCTGAGTGTATGAGCAGCCTTTCCAATCACAACAGATCCATTCATTACTCTTTTTGGTTTGTTATATATGTTTTGGTGTTATATCAACCAATTGCACAGTGTATAATTAAAATCCATGAAATGATTGATTATGTTTGATTGATTCCTAATAGCCATCAATGCATTTTGGCAGTGTACTGTTACAATGTATTATTGTTCAAGTAAATGAAAAACCCTCACATTACTACAACAACAAACATATTAAGAGTTTGCCTCTTTATTTTAAATATTTAGGATCTTGTACCTGGATTTGCAGAAGATGTACATTGCTGAAGTAATAATATATGTGTTTAGCTGCCATAAATTATAGTGCTCAGTTTTGAAAACAGGCTTTTAAGAGCTTTTTAGTGACGCCAGATGAAGGCTTGTAAAACGTATGGTTTGTTGTTTTGCTGTTGACTGTACAGGTATATATATAGTAGCTCTATATTTGATGCAGTGTCAGATATTATGATTCTCAGACAGAGTCACTGTTATACCCAGTGATCACAGTGTGGTACACTATACAGTGTTTAGGAACAAAAACACAAGCTTATTCTGAGACAGCAGCACTCCATTTAGCTGTCAGCAGATAAAATATTGCAGTAGTTTAACCTCACGTTTACTGTATATGGATCAGAAATGGAGACTGTATTTCTTTAAGCCTTAATGGAGTTTTTATTTTTTATGTATCAATGGCAGCTGACCATTCAGAAATCACTTTCTGGTGTATTGACTTGACTGACAAGTGTCACTTCACAATTTTTATGGTAAATATAGAGAATAGGATTATTGACAGTACATAGATTATAACCATCAGGTTGTGACAATTTAATTATTGTTAATTAAATTGTTTAATCACCTCTTTTGGGAAAATGGGGTGAAGATTCTTATATTTCTAAAATGTGTCATGACTAAGATATTGTGATATGTTTGGATTTATTTTATTGTGCAACAATAGTTATGCCTACTTATTTATTATAGATTATTGAAAGGTATGGTATTCATACTTCTCTACAATCTAGAAATTAATTCAGCCATAAAGGTAAGTTCCACATTTAGTAAAGTTAGCTTTAAAATAATAATGTAAAATGTGAATTAATATTTAAATTGGTGGGAACAACGGTATTTCTCTGCATTCTTTAGATCCAAGGTTCTAGGCGTTACCAAAAAAAAAAGAAATCTTTTAACAAAAGCTGAAGCTGGCAGTGCCTCTCCACATCCTGCTTCAGCACTCCTGCACAAACAGCACAGAACCTTGCTGACATCATCACCATTTCCCAATTCATTTGTTTGTCCCCACAGTCACTAGGCGACTGTTGTCTGAGTATCAGAAAATAGGAGGGGCTTTGGTGAAGGTAAATAAAGAGTACTGTGGAACAGGGAAGAAAAATTAATCTAATGTGAGCACATACACCCAGCATAGCATAGTAACTACTTTAAGTAAAAATATTACACTTTTATTCATGGAATATTTTGTTTCTCAGGATAAGCTGTTACTCACAGTAAAAAAAGAGACCTCCTGGGAAAGCTAAGGTTGCTGTTGGAAGAGTAGAGGGTGCTCACCCTGTGGTCTGTGTGGGTTCTTATGCCCCAGTATAGGGACAGGGACATTATACTGTAGAAAGGTGCCATCCTTGATGTAAAACTGAGATCCTGACTCTCTGTGATTAAAAATCCCAGGGCGTTGCTCGAAAAGAGAAGGGGTGTTACCTCGGTGACCTGGACAGATTTCCCCTGGGCCTTTACCAATCATAGCCTCCTAATAATCCCCATCTATGAATTGGCTTCATTACTCTGTTCTCCCACTGACAGCTGATGTGTGGGGAGTGTTCTGGCGCACTATGGCTGCATAATCCAGGTGGATGCTGCACATTGGTGGTGGTGGAGGGGAGTCCCCATTACCTGTAATGCGCTTTGAGTGGAGCGTCCAGAAAAGTGCTATATAACTGTAAGGATTTTTATTATTATTATTATTATTATTATTATTATTATTATTATTATTATTATTATTATTATTGATATTGTTAGTATTATTATTATGCTAAAGACAGCTTTTCCAGAGTAGAAAAAATTCCACTTACGTCCAAATCTAGTCCATATATAAGTATGACAGAGGTGGGGAGAATCTCTTTTCACTTGTTCTGGTTGTTATTTATGGGCTTTAAGCCTAGAATTTCTTGAACTTAAGTTGGTTTCCTTGAAATTCAGGCAATGGTGGTCACAGTCCTACTGTATATTTGAATAGCTTGCCAGGTTCCCTAGTTTTGATGGAGAGAGGAGAAAATGTTTAATTGTTTTAATTTGTCAATGATTCCTCTGTGGTTGGATGATTGACAGGTGATCTGCATCTAGCTCTCATTCTCTCTCAAGTCTCTCTTGGGATAGTAGACAAGGAGGGATTGATGTTATTCCCCGGAGATTTCAAAGAGAGACCTTTCTAATGATGCCATGTTTCGTTTGAAAGTTAGAACATGCTGCTTAATAGTGAGGCCTACCGGAGATGCATTCCTAAAGACATTACATCCATCTTATTATATCTAATAATCTCCATTTATGAATCTATGAATTGGCTTCATTACTCTGTTCTCCTCCCCACTGATAGCTAGTGTGTGGTGAGAGTACTGGTGCACTATGGCTGCCATCGCATGATCCAGGTGGGTCTGCACATTGGTGGTGGTGGAAGGGAGTCCCCATTACCTGTAAAGCGCTTTGAGTGGAGTGTCCAGAAAACCACTAGATAAGTGTAAGGAATTTTTAATTCATATTATTAGCTTAAGGGAATGTCTTAAAATAACCTATTTTCCTGACACGAGGGGATAGGATTCAAGTATAAGTATAAGCATATACTGTGTAGGACCGACTACATTTTTAAGTTCTCCTTTTTGGTGCTTTAGCGTACCATACCTGAAGAAGGCTTCACAGCCGAAACATTGAGTTTTCTCTCTTCTCTTTTCAGCATGGAATAAACCTATTAGTGGTTTCTTATTTAACTGTTTATCTCAGGGCATTATTATAGAGAGAGTATGAATGTATCTTATAAACTCCAACCCTTAAATTGTCAAGAATAATGAAGGAACTAATTGATGTAAATTGTTTTAACATATTTTTCTATCTTAACATCCCCAAAACCATTCTCCCTTCACTCTGCTTTATTTATGCAAAAAAAGAAACTTTGCATTCATCCTGTAAGCCTTACTCTGATGCAAATAAGAACAGATTTACAAAACACAGAGTTTGAGCTTTGCTGTTAACAATGGTCATTATACACTTATAAACTATTTAATGTAATTATTTTTAAAGCTTTTGAACAACAAATAGACTTTGGTTGTCATACAGAACTTGGAATTAGTTTTCTTTTTTCTTTTGATCCCAGACAAGTAAGCAAAGACAGAAACACATTTGACATAGTAGGTAAAGTGGCTGTGTTTCCTTTGAATACTGAACTGATACTTTCCTAAGTGTTGAATTAAGCCTAATTATTATTTTTTTATTCTTATTGATTAACCCAGTCAACTGGGATCAAATCAAATCAAGTCAAATCTGCAAGTTCCAGGAGAAATGTCCAGTAACAGTGAAAGAACTACACCTATCTGAGAAAATATTCTAATTTCAAATGCATTTAACAGCTTCCTCCAGCTTTCTGATTCAGTCATTTACAATTTCAAACTAATAACAGTTTAAGAAATGTTTATCTTTATATTGCATAGTACAAAAGTTTGTATTTGTCAACATTAAAAAATACAAAGCATCTTCCATGTGCCTCTGATTATTAATGAGATTGTGATGAATAAATCTTGATTATGCTTTCTGCTTACCTATTAGAGGCATTTCACACTGGGAAAAATATATATTAAAAGTATAAAATAAACAAGATAAAGCACACATATTAATTATCTAACAAGTTAACTATGTGTTATTTTGTGTAGGTCTGGAGGGAATCTGTTTATCACATGTCAGTCTAATTTTCCCTGGATATGCTCTTGCTTCAGTTCCAGAAGAGAACAATTGCTCTCAAGTTCAGGTTTCCTCTAAAGTGAACAGATTTGAAGAGATGTTGTCCAGGGCATCACTATCCACCAGGATTACATATTTGAATTTTGCATTCAAATTGTAGAAGTTTTCTTCATGTGTATTGGAACAGAATTTTATAAAGCCCTTAAAATTCCAGTATCAGGATATTATAGTATTACTGTTGTGACAGTTCTCCTATTAGTAAACTTGCCTTATGTTATTGAGCAGGAGGCCTTTGAATGAGATTAATCCCTGATTGAAGCAGAACATTTAACGCTTCTTCTTCCTGTGTTGATTTGAAATTAGATTATACTGTTGTTGGTGCTGCTGTAAAAACAGGTCGTGCAAAGGTCTCACAATGTGGTTGACATTGTGTTGTGCATTGAGGTTACCGCTAACAACAGAATTTGGCAATTTATGGCTCCTCAAACTATTTGCACTACTAAAGTCCAAATAAGAGTGTTCCCTTATACCAACATCAGCAAACATTTTATGGTTCATCCATTTTTTTTGTTAAAATATTTAATATTTAAGACTTAAAGTATCAATTCAATTATAAATATAATATTAAAAAACTAGACTTTTCTCGAGAGTCTACCTATAGGTTTCTCAATAGTCATACTTATATTACTTAATGGTTCATACTCTTTTTTTTTTCAGACTCCTGCCAAAATGTCTGAAGAAACACCTGAAGCTTTTAAAGGCATCCGACAGAAACCAGGTCTGCAAATATGGACTATAAATGTAAGAACTCCTGTTCTGGTGCTCTAGATTCAGTTTTAGTTTGAGGTTTGGAATCAAAGGTGTTATATCGGAAATCTTGTCTTTAACACATATAGGATAGCATGAAATATCATTATGAAAACCTCTGACAAAATAACACAGCCAGGTTCAATATACAATATATATTATCGCTAGAAAGCCAGGAGCTGCACTTATACCTAAAATCTCTTTAGCAGTCTGCATATGTTGAGAAGCATTAAAAAAGCAACAAATTCTGTCAGTACTCGTTTGTTGTGTTTTAATGCCTCTTTGTATATATTGTATAAGAACTGTTTAAAACATAGCTTACAAATTAAAACTTAAACTGAAGTATCAGTTGGAAATTCAAAAAGAAACATAAATATACATAGTAAAAACGAAATGTCTGCAGCAAACTTAACAGTATAGTTTGCACTGAAGGTATTTGCTTCTGGTTGTATTCAGATCAAGCATTCGTAGATCAAATTCTCATATGTTCTGCAAAACAGTTCCACCTGTAATTTCAAGAAGAACATACAGGTCACCACGTACTTGACCACAAATTATTTGCCCTCTTACTGATCCAGGCTTTGTTGGGTTGCAGCCTAGGTCATGTCAATTGTTGTAACAAAGCACTCCACAAGTGGCAGTGCACAACACAAATTTCCATTCAAACAGTGCAGGGGCTCCCAATGGTTCAATGAGTATAGACTATAGACACCCGAGTATAGTATAGACATGCAAAGAAGGTTCCACAGCCGAAACATTGTGTTTACTTTCTTCTCTTTTCAGCATGGAATAAACCTTTAATTATTCTTTTTGTAGTCTACGCATGCTGACGCAGCTACCTAATTGAGTATAGACTATGTCCCATGCACAGGTTGAGGTATATGATCCAGGCATCACTGGTTACATTAGTCAACTGTGAGCAGGATTCAACAAGTAGTGGTGCGCACATGGCTAAGATCCACTGAGAATACTGTGTAATTAAAACAACAACTCTCAGCAACACATCAACCCCCGCAACCCGAATGTCCATGGTTCATGCAGGTTCATGGTGGTGCTAGTGGGTGACGAGCTTTTTATCCACTCAACATCATCTAGCGAGGGACTGTGTTGACTGTGGTGTGTTATGAGATGAATGGCTCAAAGGCAAATTAGTTGCAGAGAGTAGCTGATGGCTGAGATGTGAAAAACACACAACTGTCTGTTCCAAAATAAGTTTGGTTTAACAAAATAACTGGCAAATTTAAAATATATATTTGTCAGTTTGCTCCCATTTTGTCCAGATTTTAGATATAATCAAATACAGTATAACTACCAGTGCTACCATACCTGATGACCAGAGATACCTTTTAATATGTGTGTTATGACAGAATCATAGATTCCACAGCTTTGTGAATAATGGCTATAACAGAAAACCAGAATGAAGCCTCCTGAAAGAAAAACTTCATTGTTATACATCAGAATGAGATATTTCCTTTATAAAAAAATCTTTAAAGCCTTTTTTTAAACATCCTGCCTTAATTTCTTCTGCAGAAAATGGAAATGGTTCCAGTCCTTGAACAAGCCTATGGAAACTTCTTTGAAGGTGACTGCTACATTGTGCTTCATGTAAGTAAAGCAAAAACAAATGGATTTTTTTCAAGAGCTTCCTCATTGAGGGCCTCTGGAAATGCTATACGCCTTACATATTTTTGATACTGCTGTCCTGCACCATTTTGTTGCTTTTTTGTAAAGCCTGAAAAAATTATCAAAAGCATATACTGTATATGAAAGTACTGTACTATATTTTATTACTATCTATGTTGTCTGTTATTTTTAATCCATGTGTATAAATGTAAAAATGTCAGTTTTTCTTAAAACAAATACCATCATAAGAGGTTCTCAAATTAAATTAAACACAAAGAGGTTATAATACAGTTATAGTGTAATGAAGTTAAATTAATGTATGATGTTAAACAAGTTTAATACTTTAACTTTCTATTTTATATTTGCACTTCTTTGATTACCTACCCACTTTAGACTACATGCAATAAACTTTGAGAAGACTTTGAGAGATATTTTACTGGAAGAACTAATTAGTAAAGCAAATAATATTCTAAACAGATAACTTGGTATTATCAAGTCATAATGTTTTTATACCTATAAAGGTAAATATTAAATTCAAGTTAGGGGCCAGCAGCCATATCACCCTGCAACTTACAATTGGCAACCCACTGAAGCTAAACAGGTGTGAGCCTGATCAGTACCTGGATGGGAGACCTCCTGGGAAAAACTAAGGTTGCTGCTGTGTTAGTGAGGCCAGCAGGGGGCGCTCACCCTGAAGTCCATGTGGGTCCTAATGCCCCAGTATAGTGACGGGGACACTATACTGTAAACAACCGCCGTCTTTCGGATGAGACGTAAAACTGAGGTCCTGACTCTCTGGGGTCATTAAAAATTCCAGGGCATCTAATGTACAAGGCGGAGCGACACGCCAGCTGGAGTATTCTCGGTTGCATTTAATGGCAACGTCAGCTCAAAGATTTGGTTCAAACCACCAAATGGAGATGGGTGTGCCAACAAGCGGACCCTGCTGATGGGGGATTAACGCTAGGATGAGAGAGAGAGATTTAATTCAAGTTAGGATAGTATTCTGCGTGTACCATACAGATAAATTATCTGTGTAGATTAAACATTTAGTTTATAGTCTGTCCCTATAAATTTGTTAGTAATGATAATTTACTTGATACCTTTATCAAAGGCATATTTTATAATATAAACACAGTTTACTAAATAGCCGTAACTAAGTTATACACAGAGTCATACAGTAAAGTTCACATTACAACACATCCCGTTATATAGTAATATAGTAGTATATAGTAGTAGAAGTAATATAGTAGTATAAAATAAAGTACAGAATGAGTAATACAGAAGATTAATTATGCCTATGGTGCTGATAGCAAACACATGAGTTTGGCATTCACCATTGTAAGATGTTTTTCCACTTAAATTGGACCATGAATCAACTAGAAAATGACAATCTCACATAATGTCCATCTTTAATTAGTATACCATGCAATTGATGTAAGATACTTGTGCTTTAACTTGTGAACTTGAACTTGAACTTGAACTTTATTGCCATATGTAACCGGTACTGGTACAATGGAATTCTTACTTACAGAAATTCTTACTTGTGCCCTTTTACCTCAGAATAACACAGGCTTTATATTCTTGCATCTGCAGTTCCCAGTATGATAGTATTGCGCTATACAGAGAAACTAACAACTGCTACATTTGGTTAAAAGAAATCAAAATCTAATTTAAAATAAGTGTGTTTTGGAATCATTCAGTACATCTGAATTTATAAACAGCTTCCTCTGTATCTGGAGCAAAAAAAAATAGGGCTTATGGATAGGTGGTTATAAACACCTCTGGCTATGTTGTGACATCTTGTAGACTGTCACCCATTATTAATTAAGAGGTAGTGTATTCCTATTCTCACTATTATTAAATGGTCACCTTTACTGAAGACCAGCTGTAATTGTCTGCGTGTCCAGGGAAATCAGGACTCACGTCAGCCTATGAATGTGCATTATTGGATTGGGAAAGAGTCTTCTCAAGATGAGCAGGGAGCAGCTGCTATCTACGTGACACAGCTGGATGATTACTTAGGAGGAAGCCCGATTCAGCACAGAGAGGTGCAGGGAAATGAGTCCCCCAAATTCCGAAGCTACTTCAAGAATGGGATTGTGTAAGTGCTCTCTCTTACCACTTGACAGAATTTACAGGACAAGCTCTTTGGTTTTATTCGCTCCGCAGAAGTTTTAATAAAAGTAAAAATCAAGGAACAACAACAGAAAGAGACAGTTGTGCTTGTTTCAAGTGAGAAATAACCACTATTCCTTTAATGCTGATTAGTATAATGTTTTTCTATGAATTTAAGAAAGTCTGTAATGCTTAACAGAAATATCCATCTATTGTAACTATTGTACAAGAGGACAAATATTGTACTGTTACAGTAAATGGATATACTTAGGAGATATACAGAAAGCACAAAAAGCTGTTTATGGAATCTGATTAAAGAAATATGTAAGAAGCTTTTTTGATGTTTGTACCATTTTGTGAAAAAATAAAATAAAATGCACTCTCACAGCTCTGAATTTGTTTCTTCTTGTTTTTTGTTGAACAGTTACAAGAAGGGTGGAGTAGCTTCTGGTTTCCAACACATAGAGCCCAACGTGTACAACATCCTGCGCCTCCTTCATGTCAAAGGGAGGAAGCATGTCTCAGCCACAGAGGTAAGCTGTGAGCATACATAAGAGCGCTCCAATCCCTTTATAATGTTTCTGTCAGTTGTGTCTAGATGGGAATTTCTTGTTTTTTCTTAAAATGGGATCTTACTGTTTGTATACAACTGGACATCATTCTCCTTCCTTGTTTACATAGTATCCCCCATCAATAGGTATATAAAATATATAGGTACTGTATATATATTTTTTGCTTGACAGACATTCTGATCAGGGTGTATCCTGCCTAACACCCGTTGCTTGCTGGGTTTGGCTCTGGTGTCACTCATCACCCTGTATTGGATAAAGTGATTCGAAAATGAATGGATGAAGAGCTAATCCAGTTTATGTGTATAGTTTCCTGATAAGATTGGAAACCATTCTTCTTATTTTGTATTTGCCCTCATCTAGGGCAACATACAATATATAATGTATTATTACTGGATATGTTACTAAATGCACTGATTGCTGAGCACACAATTCTTATGTAAAGGTTATAAATACTACAATAACATTTTACATTTTTACCGTGATGTGTAGTTTAAAGTATTTTCTGAGTGAAAGTCCTTTGTTTTTTTGTAAAAAGAAATGGCAGTGCCCATATGATAATGATGGTGGTATTTTCTAGGTTGAAGTTTCCTGGAACAGTTTCAACGTTGGAGATATATTCTTGCTGGACATGGGGAAAGTGATTGTGCAGTGGAATGGCCCTGAGAGCAACAGGAGAGAGAAATTAAAGGTTGGAGAGTGTTAAAAATGAAAAAGTGCCAGAGCATCCTGTTAAGAGGGTAACTTAAGTTTACATTAGAGGTGTCAAACTCAATTCCTAGAAGGCCTAATGTTTTCTGGTTTTTGTTCCAACTTGAGCTGTAAAATGAACAATTAATCTAATTATTTCCTTACTTAGACTATAAACAGGATGTTTCCTAAGGTTTTTGTTAAGTTGGTAACTCATAACATTCACTTAAAAGTGTGATAACCTTTGAAGTTTACAGTTTAACACTTTGCAGCCAGATTAGAAATATTAAAGTCATGCATTTAAATAAATAATTAGACCCTCTATGTAACTGAAAGCTCAGTTTGGAGATGTGGTACAGGTTGGGCTGTAGAAAAGATACTGGCCCTCCAGGAACTGAGTTTGGCACTTCTGGTCTACATCATTTCCAGGAACAGGTAACTTGCCAAAGGAAGAAATGTAAATCGGAATGATCTGAAGATAGTGTTGGCTTTGTTAAAGCTGTACTCAGACAACGTCTGCCTTTATTCTACTGCTTGCACAAGACATCAAGCAATCACAATTTGTCTGACAACATTGGTTAACTCTGTTTATGTTAAATTCAATTGTGAATCTGAGTCATTTTAACTACTAGTATCAATTAAATTTTATCTGCCTAACATTCAAACAGTTAACAATTATATATTGTCATTGTCACTTTTATTGCTTTGGAAATTACAGTACACCACATTTTATTCAACTTTGCAATCTAACTAGGGAACTTGCTGTGGTTCACAAGTTAATTCCTTAAACTGGAGACAATTAGCAACCCTGCCTTGATAAAGAAAGCCTGTCCATGGGCATACACATGGGAAGGTGAAATAGTTTAGTGAACAGGTCAGACTGATAATGGATGTGTCACTCTGGGTTCAGGCGATGCTGCTGGCCCAAGATATCCGGGATCGCGAGCGAGGTGGCAGAGCTCAGATTGGCCTTGTGGAAGGCAGTGATGAGGCTGATTACCCAGAGCTCATGAAGGTCATGAAGGCTGTTTTGGGAGAGAGGAAAGGCAAGCTGAAGGAGGCTATTCCTGATGACCAGCCTGACCTGAACCAGACGGCCAACGTTAGACTCTATCAGTATGTATGGACATGTACAATTATACAGTATCCACATCATCATTATATTTCTGTTGTGCTTCTGAATACTTTCTGAAAAGAAATGCTGTGTTTATATCATATGGATATGCAAAATGTTCAATTCCAAGCTCCTGTTCTCAGAAATGCTGTGTTTATATCATATGCATATATACAGCTGTTGTGTGTAGTATGTGTGTGACTGTTAAATGTATGGTCCTTCTCAGATTGAAATGAGTTATTTATTTTACTTATACAAAACATGGCTTACAGTGAACTAGAATAATGGGTTGGATAAGTGTACACACCCCTTAGTAATACCAGTTGTAAATTAGCTCTGGTGCAACTAATTGCCTTTTAAATCAATGAACCACTGGTTTTCAATTTTTCTTTCATATTATCTTTTTAACTTACTACTTTTTGTTTTTTGTTGTAAATATGTGGAGCAGGTTGTGTACATAACACAGATAAATTGCTACTTCAAAGTGTCCTGACTGCAAGCTTTAAACCTACAAAATCTGAAAACTGTGTAAAGGTCTAAATACTTATGCAATCCACTGTATGTGTTACTGTGTTCAGTGTTTCAGAATCTGGTGGTAACCTGGTTGTGCAGGAGATCGCAACTCAACCCTTGACTCAGGACCTGCTCAAGTCCTCGGTAAATGAGCTTCTCTTTTTCAATCAGAAATAAAGACCCAAGCTCTGAATCTTAATCCTGAAGGTTCACTTTAACATATGCTGTGTAGAAATGTGATGCCTTCAACTACACTTAAAATTAATTTATAATCATTTATAGTTGAAATGTTCCTTAATACATCAAGAAGATTACTTAAATGCTTATAGCTCACTGAGTTTTTAATTCAAATTTCCAATTACTTATAAGTGTGTTTTTATAAACATGTGCACATTCGAAAATGATCAATTTTGAATCAGGCTCAATGCTCTAACCCATGTTCTAACACAGCAGGTATAAAGACAGCATGCATGTCTTTTCAATCTGTCAAGCCATCTGTTACATTCATGTTCCTTGTTTTCAGCAATTATATATTTGCACAAATTGTGATAGGATGGAGGGAGATCTGCTGAAAATCCAGTCAATCTATTATTGTCGTGCTTGCAGTGACACAGACTTCCTTTGTTAAACAGTTAAACTTTAAACTTTATAGTTAAAGGCATGCATCAGATCAATTCTGTACATAACACTACCTGTCTGTTTTCACATTGTGAGCCCCACAGCACAAGCAGCAGAGCTGAGTCACTTAGAAAACCCACAGTCAAATGACAAGCCTTTAGGCTCACTGGTGTGCAGCAAGTCAGGAATCATGAGGCCTCTAAGAAAGTTACCCTGACCCAGGTGCCCGGCCTAATGTGCATTACTGCCTGTGGAATCCCAGTGAGCCATACTTAAGCAGCTTGTTATGTTACAAAACGGCAAGTGACCAAATAGCACAATACCTGACTGGGAACAGATGGTTAAAAGAATTCACTGTAATCCTTTTTTCTAAAATGTTAAACTCCAAGCTCCTGTTCTCAGAAATGCAATTTGAATTTGCCGTGAAAAAACAACGCGAGCTCCTCTCTTTTTCAGGAATGTTACATTGTGGACCAGGGTGGCGCCACAGTCTTCGTGTGGAAAGGCAAGGATGCCTCCAGGGAGGAGCGCCACTCTGCTGTGGGGAGAGCAGTGGTGAGTCTGTGGGAGCGAAAGCACGAGACCCCTGGGAAAGCCAGAGCCTAAATGCCTTGCAGGATAGCATGGGAAGCCCCAGTGATGCATCAAACCCTGCTGATGGGTCACATATCCCGAAAAAAACAGCCTTGGGTCAGGAAGACCCATAGAACAATAATAAAATTATGTAGTTTTTCAGGTCTGTATCCCAAATTTAAGGGCACACTTTACAAACTCTGGCTAACATTAAATTCGCACAGAGCAATTTAAACAAATAATACATTTAAAAGCTTTGATTTCAAGAAAGCTGTGTATTTTTAGTGGCAATTTAAGTAGAATGCTTCAGCACATGTATGCTGTGTCCCCATTTTGGGATAGTTCAGCTCTGTACAGAAAAAGAAATCCAAACATCTTCCAGTTCTAGATGCGCAATAAATGTTACGTGTGCAAAACAAAACAAACCAGGTGGTGAAAAGTAACTCCTGAAGCACTGGTTTCCAGCGCCTGAAATAAAATGATTATAATCCAGTATAAGATGCAGAAGAGGGTTTCTGTTAAGTATTTCCAGAGATAGTGCAGTTGTATACAAATGCCAACGTTGTTTCAGGGTTTCATCAAAGCCAAAAACTACCCCTCTACCACCAATGTGGAAGTGATGACCGACGGAGCAGAGTCAGCAATGTTTAAACACCTCTTCAAATCCTGGAGAGTCAAGGGACAGACACAGGGCCTGGGCAAGACTTATTCTGTGGGCAGGATTGGTAACTATGATTCAATATCTCCTTAATTTTCAGTACAGATCTTTCCATTACTCATGCTTGTCTTCAGTGTATAAAAGGAAGGAAAAGGCAAAAAATCAGCCAATATTCAGTAGTAAAGAACAGTAAATTGTAAACTCATATTCAGTGTCATATACAGTATAATAAAACAGTTTGAACCAAGTATTCTTGAGAATATTTTAAAAGTTGTAAAATGTAAGAACAGACACTAAGAAATAAAGGTGACATCAGTGATTATGTGTTACATGTATCTTACCCTTTCTAACATATTGCTTCAGATATTCTGATTTTGTTTCACATAATCATCAATTAATGTTTTACAATAAGTGAAGAGACTAAGTAAAGATCACAAGGTGCAAATTGACATTTGGAATACCATATATTGGGAGAACACAATACCATGTTTTAATGGCTCTGTCCTTTTCTACCCAGCCAAGGTAGATCAGACGAAGTTCGATGTGATGGAGCTTCACGCCAGACCAGAACTTGCAGCTGAGCAGAGGATGGTGGATGATGCCTCTGGAACAGTGCAGGTGTGTATCCATACAGTGAGCACTTGCCAATGTTATGATGTTAAACCTAAAGATCAGTATGGTTTTGTAGGTGCTTTTTTGAAGCCCGAAGAGGAAGAGAGCATTTAGTGAGAAAACACTGTTTTTGTCTCACTAAAAACAGTATATAAAGAGCAAATTTGAATTTCCTATCAAGTGGATAATGTTAATGTTCAGTAAAATACAATATACATTTTATTTTGGGGTATTTCTTTGAATACATCTGATCAAATTAGAAGAAAAACATACATTATTGTGTTCAACCCAGTGGTTTCGTGAGACCCTACGTATTAGAACACAGTCACTTTAAGTACTTTTCTGAGTATAAAAGTCAGTATTTGGTTACATATATATTTTTAAAGGACTGTGGCCTTAGTCCTTATTATTATTGCTATTAGCAAAAAGGCAAACAAAATCAGAAAAAAATGCCACTCTTGTGTGAAGGGTTTTAAACCATTTCAACTTGGAGCTCGTCGTAGTGTTGCAGTACATGTAACTGACTGATCTTGTCGACTAGGTGTGGAGGATTGAAAATCTTGAACTCCAAGAGCTCCACCCCAGCTCCTATGGCCAGTTCTATGGAGGAGATTGTTACCTGGTGCTCTACACTTACATGAAGTCCAACAAACCTCATTATATTCTCTACATGTGGCTGGTAAGGGCAATCTGGCTAATAAAGTATAGAAGTACGTTTGTCTTATGTTTGCTGTGCTTGAACTTAAAAGTACTCTTAAGGTGAAGTTTACAGTATTTGTTACTTTATTCCTGTCTTTATACATGTTGAATCATACAGTATTATGTTATTAACATGTTTTGTATGATTAACCCTAGGTATTCTTCAAGTATATTCTGACAAACTAATTGTATTTGACTGTGAAGACATTTCTTGTAGGATCACGCAAAGATGCTAAAGTAGGGAGGCAACAATCTGTACAACATTCTGTATACCTCTTATAAGCTTCTATAGACGGATTCTCAGAAACCTTTTCAAGGTCACTTTTTGTTTCCTGAAAGAGATGGCATGTGTCATTTTTTTACTAATTTTTAGGGAATGTCACAGCATATAGGAATAGACCATGAAAGCTGAGCACTTTCTTGAACTTTCGTGTTGCTTCAGGGGCGCCATGCAACTCAGGATGAGATCACCGCGTGTGCTTACCAGGCAGTCAATATGGATAATAAGTACAATGGTGCTGCAGTGCAGGTCAGGGTGACTATGGGGAAGGAGCCTCGGCACTTTCTGGCCATTTTCAAAGGGAAACTCGTTATTTATGAGGTACATTTTTCTCGTTTTCCCATTTAACCCCAAATCACTTCTTCTGTTCACTGTTTTTTTGGGGGGGTTAGCAGGATGCAGCTTCAGTGCTTCAGTGTTGGGGAAGATTCCTTTTAGAAACGAATTCATTACAGTTACAAGTCACTTGTGTAGGGGATTATTTTTTAAATCCTTTACTCTTACATACAGTATGTCTCTCTTATTAATGGTGGGTGATGCATTGTCATTATTGTCGTACAAACAACAGTGATATAAAACCATAACAAACATATTGAGGCTACATCTTCAGAGAAGCTCCATTGCATTCTGAGGCAATTCTCTGTATCCAAAGTTAAGCTAACCGAGACCATACTTGGGAGCATTACTGAATGCAAAAGCAGACATAAATGCCATTCTCTTGCTATCAAATCTAGGTAAAAGACCTCATAATTAATTAACTGATTTGTTGCCAAGATTCTGGAGTCAGGTTGTTTACTCATAGCTGTGTTATCACTGTTCAGGGTGGGACAAGCCGTGCTGGCGTAGTGAAACCTGAACCAGGTGCCAGGCTCTTCCAGGTCAGAGGCACTAATGAATTCAACACAAAAGCCACTGAGGTTCCAGCCCGGGCATCCTCCCTCAACACAAACGACGTCTTCCTTCTGAAAACCGACCGGGTCTGTTATGTGTGGTCTGGCAAGGTAGGTCTCCCATGTTTAACCCTCCACTGCAGCCTGTCAGCAGTAACACAGAAAATTTCTACACATCACAGGTCATTTTAAAGAGCCTTATCTCTTAATTTTATACCATGATCTGAAAGTAATACACTGGAATAAATAGTGAGACTATTTTCCAGAATATTAAGTAACCACGAGTTATATGAGCAGAATAGCATGCCCTTTTTATAACCTTTCTAGGTCCTTCGATTTTTAGGAGTTTTGTCACTTTATTTATAATTTGTACATCATCATTTCGTAACCGCTTTAATAGTTATTCTAATCTTCCCTATACAACTAAAACAAGACTAATATCATCGATTTTATTGTACAATGATGCAGAATTATGTGGTTTCGTGATGTTTTTTCTTCCCAACTGTTCTTTTCCTTTCTGAATGTAAGGCAAGAAAGAAGCTGATTGGACCCAATCAGATTAGCCTTATCTGGAGGGGATGGGAGGTTATGTACATATCCATTATTTCTGGATATAAACATGACAAAAATACAATTTTTGCCTAAATGTCCCATTTTTTCCCATTGCTGTTTTTTTTCTTGAAGGTTTTGTAATGTCTGTGTGTCATCAGTGCATTCTGAAATGCTTGTAAATGTAAGAATGAATTGTGGGGAGGGAAACTAGCACTTGATCATGAGCTGGCTAATTGTGTAGAAATACAGTCAATTACACATAGGAATCAAAAGGTGTTGTATGCATTACATTCACTGTATTAACCCATTTTGTGTGTCATTACATCACAGGGGTGCAGTGGGGATGAGAGAGAAATGGGCAAGTCTGTGGCCGATGTCATCTCCAGGCAAGACAAGCAGACAGTCCTGGAGGGCCAGGAACCTGCAGAGTTCTGGGTGGCTCTGGGAGGGAAAGCTCCTTACACCAGCGACAAGAGGTGAACTCTCGCAACCTATAGTGAAGCATTCTTTTTCAATGTGAAAAGATAAAATACCAGTGACAGTCAATTTTGTACCAGACAGTTTTAGATTTCCATAGAAGATCAGGGACAATTACTTGAATATGAGACTTTATTCAAATATCGGATGCTCAAAGGAAGGAATTCTCAACCCAGTTGTGAACCAAGACAGTCTCAGTCTGTTTCATACAAGAAGCAGAGACACTAGATAGAGACACTGCATAAAAGACACCTGCTGTAGCTGCAGGGAGAACTGGCAGAACCCACACAGAAACCTGTGATTTACTATATGATATGCTGTATCCTCCATTATTTGCCAGATAAATCCCTTGCAGTCCCCAGTGTCTCTAAGTGCACTACTTCTTTTACATCAAGCCTTCAGCACTCTACTGTGCAGCTGCTGTAAGCCTGTGTTTTGTTCAGTAGCCTGTACAAATTAGATATAAATCAAATACAAGTTTCAGCCCAGTCCTGCACAGTTCTCAGAGGAGAAAACATAGTAACATAGTGTAACCTGTAATGCTGTGTTGGGACAGCATAGCCCAAATGATCTCCCCAGCTGCTGAAAGCGGTCTGAAACCCTTTACCCTGGTCTGCAAATCTCAGGTTCCAGCAGGAGAAGCCGCCACACAAGCCACGGCTGTTTGAGTGTTCCAACCAGACGGGCCGCTTCGTGATGACTGAAGTGGACGACTTTGCCCAGGATGACTTGGATGAGGATGATGTCATGCTGCTTGATACCTGGGAGGAGGTGAGCTCTGTTGCTTTCTCCTCGTGGTTTTAGAAAGCCCTAAAACTGTGTCTGTAACTTTTGCAGGCTTATATTTAACACACACTCTGATTATACACTTCTGATGCATGTATTCATACATTTATAATAAGGGAAATGACAATATGCTTCTAAAATGTACATGTTTTCATTACTATGTTAAATATGTATAAATACATAATTGATGTTTAGTATATTTTCAGAAAAAAAAACATACCGAATGTAGATGTTGGTGTCATTTTGATCGATTGATCATTCGTAATTGGTGGTGATACACATGGTTGACTTCATCAGCTCATTGGTGATAGTATTGCTATCTTGTTTTCTAATGAGAAACAAGAAAGAAATCCATGTATATTTAGTTATACAGTTTATTTATGCACATGTCCAGGCTCTTCAAGGCAAATGAGACAACATCCCGTGCAACAGCAAGTGACTTGTTTGTATTTAAACTGTTTTTTAAATGTAACACATGTATCATAAACATGCAGCTTGCACTTACGTACGGCTGAGGCCACATACACACTATCAGCCTGTCAAATGTAAATAAGTATAATTAATTAACCAAGTCATGTCGGTTCATAAAAATGTCTTTGGACCAGGTACAATAATATTTAGCCAATTTTGTGAAATGAATTATGTGAATTCCTTGTAGTTCAAAGTAATCAGTTTATTTGGGTGTGTAGTATACAAAGAGGCACGTGAGACTTTGTTCATCATACTTTATAGAACAAGTGTGTGTCTCTCTTTAGAACAATACTACTTTGCACTTGAATATTTGTTGAAGACTAACAGAATGGCGGTTATTAGGATACATAGATGCTGTTTTCTCCCCTAAAATTAGTTTAACCAACGTCTAGCACTAGTTGCGTCTATGAACAATACTTCTTCAAAACTAAAACAAAACTAAATCATATGTATCTTTTTTTCCATCACCAGGTCTTCCTATGGATTGGCCAGCAGGCCAATGAGTGTGAGAAGAAGGAGTCTTACATTAGTGCTGTTGAGTACCTGAAGACTCACCCAGCAGGAAGAGACCCTGGGACCCCTGTCATCATGGTGAAGCAGGGTTTTGAGCCACCCACTTTCACTGGCTGGTTCAATGCCTGGGACCCTCACAAGTGGAGTGTAAGGGATTCTGTGAAAGAGAATACATCTTCTTCTCAGTTGAACTGTATTACACTCATTTTGTTTTATTTTTCCTTAGTTTCTTCTTATTCCTTCATTTTTTTGGAAGCTCTGCTCAGGTAGCTCAAATGCAAACTGCACATGCAATACCTCATGTAGCAAATACAGCAAATTGATATACATTGAATACAGCAAGTATAGTACATAATTGTGGACACTCTTTCCATCATACATCTGCACCTTCTAGTTTGACTTTAATAATAATCACGACAATAATAATAATAATTCCTTACACTTATTTTATAGCGCTTTTCTGCACACTTCACTCAAAGTGCTTTACAGGTAATGGGGACTCCGCTCCACCACCACCAATGTGCAGCATCTACTTGTATGATGTGACGGTTGCCGTAGTGCACCATTATGCTCACCACACACCAGCCATCAGTAAAGGGGAGAACAGAGTGATAAAGTCAGTTAGCAGATGATTTACAATGAAAAATCTTTGAATGCTTCTTTAGAAGCACAAGCTGGAAGATGAAGTTGGCTTTCTCGAACTTTTTCAAGTGTTCTTTTTCAAGTGAATAATCTGAAATCTGGTGTTCAGATCCATTATGAATTATGAGCTAATAAATTTGAGACTAACACTGCAGAATTCCTGTTCTTGATGTTTGGTTGTGGATGCTGTGTTGTGAGAAGAATAGGTAAAATATAAAAACTTTTTTTGTCTTCAGGGTGGCAGATCCTATGAGGAAATGAAAAAGAAACTGGGAGATGTTTCAGCGATTTCACAAATTACTGTTGTAAGTGATGTGTTCTCTAGTTTGCATATGAACATTTTTCTCCAGATTAACAAATTAACGTAGATCAATTTGATATTTTATCCTCCTGTTTTCTTATGATTAAATCTTATTATTTAACTTACTTTTGTAACCTTATAACCTTGTGTAACCTCTTGTGTGACTTGATAAAAAGCTCAGAAACATGATTTGCAGTTCCAGTTCAAAACCTTTGGTGTGTATTATTCCCCATAACTGAAAATGACAAAAAAAGATTTGTTCACAGCTCTTACTCAACCAATCTAGTAAGAGTCAGAATCACAAATGCTGCATTTTTTGTGGTAATCAAACCCCTTTTAGCTAAGACATTTGAGGCTATTTAAGACATTCCAGCCAATTGTCTTTCTGCAGGATTTCAACAACACAGACCTGAACAGGTGGAGCAGTGGTGCCACCTACAGTGCACCTGGGGGACCTGCAGGCCCCTCTCCTGTGTACAAATCCCAAAGCAGTATACAGTCCAAACCCCAGGCCAGTCTAGCAGTCTCCAAGGGCAACACGTCAGGCCTTGCTGCTGAACTGCTGATCAACAAAACAGTGAATGAGCTCCCTGAGGGTGTGGACCCAGCAAGAAAAGAGGTGATTACAATACTCTTGCCTCCAGACAAACGTTAATAATATATGGCAGAGACGTCTTAAAGTATTTTACCAGCAAAATGTAAATGTACAATATATGCAGTATCTTATCATTGCAATATACTGTAAGATGTATCATCACAGGTTTGAAAATATTTTCATATCTCTCTAGCACCTTCTCTCACACTCCTCTCTTTAAAATAGTTTTTTATGGCCACAGTTCCTTTATATTTATTTATTATGGTCTTGCATTAATCTGTCAACTTCTTGCTTCGTTTTTAAATCATGATTTTTCTCTAGGTGTTGTACTCATCATGACTTTAATACTAAAAAGGCGAAATAGGTTACTCTACATTTAGTAATAATAATTAAAGAAAATTAATTAATTCATTGACTCGCATTCATTGACCTTGTGGCTGAGGATTATGAGACTGGAGGTGACTGATCAGACCAATCTTCACAGGCTCTTGTAGATTTGCAGTTTTGCAATTTTGTAGCTGTTGGAAAATAAAGTGTAACTGTTCAGAGCTGGCCCTTGAGTTTTGTTAATGAAATATTTCTGGTTGCTCAGAACATACAGCAGATGGCAGTACAACATTGGAGTTGGGTAGTCTTAAACTTTTATTAGGGGTGTTGCCCTGCAATAGTTTTCCAGCTGTTTTACACTTTGCATGCATCTAATTTTCTTTGAACCATTTTTCCTAAACTGTTTCAGCAAACTATTTTTGTGTAGCAGAAATTTGGAGCTCATTTGATAATGCGTACACAGGTTTTTCATGTTTTTAACAGAAATTATTCTTGTTTATTAACATGACATGGGGCCATAGATATATAAAGAATGAACAAAAGCAGTATATAATAGAATACAGATCTGTGACACTTGAAAATAATTCATGTTTCTTAACCAAAAGATAGGATTTCAAACCTTTTTACCACAGAACAAAAATTGCTCCTCATATTCTGAATCTAGTCATAAAAGTTAGAAAACTAGCTTAGGGTATTTGGGAGGTCAATGAACTGAAACAAACTAAATTGAAATCACAATTACAGTTTTTTTTCAAGAATTGACTGTGTTTTTATGAATGGTTATCTTCTTTGGCATTTTGGGTTTTTTTATAGAAAAAATGTGTTTCCATAAGTTTAATAATAAACAATTTTTCTGTTTTGAACAGGAGTATCTCTCGGATGCTGATTTTGAGGCCATGATCGGGGCAACGCGCTCGGATTTCTACCGTATGCCTGCTTGGCGCCAAAAACACCTAAAGAAGGAAGCAGGGCTTTTCTGAGACCAAGCAAGCGGTGTACTTTAAAGACATGAGATAATGAAATATCAGCCTACTGTGTGTAATGTAGACTATGTCATTATCTAACCCAGAAGTCAAATACATTATTCAAGTGTTCAAATGGGCATATCCAATACTTCTTCATGCGTTGAGAAGAACATAGTGCTTTATAAATGATAATAAGAGTAACATTATCCATGTCCTTCTTTAATAAATTTGCTACAAAATGTACTGACATATATAAATATAGAAATTGATCCTTTCAGGTCCTGAATAACAGGATTGGATGTTATCCCTTGCATGATCAATTCCTCCATCCATTCCAGTGAATGAGAATGCAGAATGCATTGCCACACCATTGCACATTCATTACCAAATTGATTTAGGAATATTGAAGTGTTTTCTAATTTTACTTTTTATTTTAAATGAAAATTTTAAAAGGTAACTGCAACCTGAAAAATGCTTCCTAGCCATCATAAGTCAGGGCTACTTAGCTCTGGTTCAAGAGGGCTTTAGTCCTGAATGTATTTTCACAATATAAATCTCATAACTTTCGCAACAACGTCTGGACGACTGTCCTCAAAGGCCCAGAATTATGTGCTTGTCTTAAGCATTCCTTTTAACCACAGTGTTCCATGTTCCTTTTCACAATGCTGTCAACACTGCACTGTTAAACCCACAGCTGTATTACCTGCTGCCCCTTGCCTGGAAAGCAACACAGCAGAAGAATGAAATCTAGAGATGATTCTCAAGAGGGGCAATTGCTCTTCCAATGCAATAAACTTTGTTTACAAATCATGTTTCCCCTCTGCTTTCAAACTTGTTATGATATTCAAGATTTATATGTGTAATTTTCTTGTATTTGTCTTTTACTTCACATGCATCTTTTGGCTAGAAAGAGTAACAACAAATTATTATTATTAATAATTATCATCATTATTATTATTAAACCAATGAGTAGAATCATATCACTGATCATCTGTGCGCCATTGCAGAGAATTACAAAGTTGAACTGCCCACCCAACACCTGGATAACGACATGCTTACTACAGTGCTTACTAACCACTAATAGTCATGGACTTGTTGCTATTAAGGAATGGTATATGATTTTAGTACATGGATTGTAGATTGCTTGGATTCACAGACAAAAATATTTATATTAGAATGAAAGAAAAGGGAAACCAAAGAAAATATGCATGGCAGATACAGGTAGTGGACAAAAAAAATGGAAACGCCTAAGTAAATGAGGGACTCCAAGTACATAGAAAGCATGGGCTTCCACACAGGGGTAATTAAGCAAATAACATCCCTGCATGTTCAGGGTCATGTGTAAAAATGTAGAATAAACCTGGTTGACTATAATTATGGCTAGAATGGGTACAAGAAGAGACCTTAGTACGTTTAAAAGAGGGATGATTTGTGAGGCATGGAAGACCTTCACAGTCCAAGACAGCTCAACTTACTAATATTTCATAAGCATTGGTGTTGAAGTTGATGTCATCATAGAGCGCAGCAATGGGCAGGGGATTGTGCTCCAACATACTGTAGTGATACACCTATATTACTTCAAAGTGCAAGGCAATTCATTACCTCATTACAGAATTACAGAGAGTCAGGTGGAGAGCATTAAGGCACAAGAACATAACCAAGATGACAGAAAGGTGTTACAGGAGAAGCACTGGCTAGCTTAAATGGCTTTCTCAGTTTATCAGAGCAACCTACAGTACAGTATATTGATATTCTCTTTTGAACAACCAAGAATGACTGATAAATCAGGGAACTCCAATCACAATTTGATATGTATTTTGAAAAATATAAAAAAGTCCAAAACAAATGTATACACATTCAGGAAAGCAGGCCATGAATGAATGAAACAGTGCTCAAAGAAACAGAATGGAACAGGGTGGAATTTGGAATCGGTACAGAGCAGAACAGTTTTAAGACATTTAGTGTGAAGCAGAGATTCTATTAAAACAATAAAGATTTTAACAATAAAACAATATTGTTAGTTCTGTTCTTCCAGCCTGTTGGTGTAGGACATGTCCTGCTTGTCTGGACAGAATCCAGAGCAGCAGTAGTTTTCTTGTAACATAGTGACCACAATTGTATACAGTATTATAAATGAGGTTTTATTTGTACAATTTTTTAACCAACATCACTTGATTTAGATTCGCTTAAAAAAACGTACTATCATAAAAAAGCTGTTGTTTTATAATTACTTGGGTTTATTTTTTTTCACTGTTTTAAAGGACAAGCACCACATTTGCCACTTCCAAGGGTAATATCCATATTTGGAAGAGTTGCTGTTTTCGTAACTAGAATACAATCAGAACCTGGATAACTGTTTAACTTAAATACAAATACTTGAGTGAAATATTATTTTATTAGTGCAGCCAATTCTATTTCATTTTCTAGAACTTTTGCACAATTATTCTGGATACATTTAACTTCTACCTTTACTGTTCTTTGCTGTTATAATACTGAATGAATTTATTTTTCCCCTATTCTGCTCCTTTAAGACATTTCTTTATATTTACTCTGTTCATAATGAGGGAGTCAGTTAATTATGGATCATTGTAAGTCCCTGGCAATATCTTAAGAATTTTTTTCCCTAATTCTCTTCTCTTCATTGCTTCATTGTTAAAAGATATGCTGTACAATGGTTGTGATACAGTGCTGTACATTGGGCTGACCCCACATTAAAAAATACACAATAAAATGAGTAAAACAGCAAGGAACAGTCCTTTCCACACAAATTCAACCCCCGAGTTCACACAAAATTAAATACCACTATTTAAAATATTTCCATTTATTCTCATCTTTTACAAAAGGTGGTACATCACATGAATAAAGTATTGCTTAGTTTATCAACCTGAGAGGTACCTGTAGATGCTTAACCATCTCTGAACATAAAATGTACTGTGTGTTTTTTCTTTATTGCTTAGAGCAAATTAAGTAGTGTTTATAAGTGAAGTGTTTATACAGGACAGAATGTAGATTGTACAAAGAAAAGGATAATAAGTGGAACATAAATACTCCTTTCAGTTAAGTGTAATTATTTGCATAATGTGTATCCCTGTCTGTGCTCAAGCATATTGAGTTACCAGATTTAATGTATATTCAAAGCATGACTGTTACGTAAAGGCTTTCAGCAGTTCTCAAAACACAGAAAATGCCATATCATTCAAATAGCTGTGGCTTCTCAGCATAACTTACAGCAGGGGACTTATAAATCAAACATGGCTGCACCAATTCAGTGTTCATTTTTTCTGGCACAACTTCTGTCATTTCTAAAGAATACATCTGTACTACTAAGAATAAGCAAGTCTAGAAAAAAAACTAACAAAAATAGGATACTGCAGAGATCTGTACCCTTGGTCCTGGAGAGCAAGAGCGTTGTTTGTTTCATCATCCCAGATGAGCCCTGAATAATTTAATTGATTAAATGAGATATCACAAGCCTGTGGTCAGTGACTAAAGCCATGTAGTGTATAAAGCATACTGCCTTCTCTACTGCACCACTTCTGCATGTCAGCATTCCATGTCAGACCTTGATAACTTGCATTTTTGTAAAGACAAACATCATCATCATCAAAATCATATTATAGAACAAATCATTTTGATACTCCCTCTCATGAAAGAAAATAAACAAATGAAATTTCAATATGAACAACATTTTAAAAGTATAGGCTCACAATAACTGGTATAAACTGGTATAGACCCCTTCTATATTTAACACTAATTTGATTGTTAAAAATTGTAGGTGTAGCCATTAAGTAAAATATAACTGCACTTTATCACTTGAAAGTCACAAAACTTCAATATTTGCATTCTGAATAAATGTAATATAAAAAATGGCAAACTACCAGTTACTGTCAACCATGATTTCTTTGAAGCACAAACTAGCCAACTTATTGCTTTTCTTACTAGTAGCCAGAGCAACTTTCTTTTCGCAGGTCCTAAGTTGCTTAATTTTACCTAGTATGCCATTTGGGCAACTCACTGATGTTCCTGTTATAAATGAGATCTGAAAACATTATGAAAAGTTTTCAAGCCCCCTGTGCTACTTTTACAGTTCAAAACCAAATTAAAAATTAAATATCTTGTGTAAGAAATTTAAAAAATTAACGTATTTTAACTGACTATTGAATGGAGACTTAAGAAAATGCCAAAAATGATTCTGATCAAGATAAAACCTTAAAATCTTAAAGGAGGTTTTCAGAAAAGGGGTCATGTTTGAGAAACACAATATATAGTACAGAATGCGGGGTTTGTTAAATCCAGAACAAGAAAAACACCAGAAAAAAACTCGTGCTCGTTCACAACCCCAGTCTCACATGCAACATTTCGCAATTCCTCTAAACCCTTTGAAACCAATTATTTTTATCTGTTATGCAAACCATTCAAACATTAAAAAGGATAAAACATAAAAAGGATATGTTAAAATGTCTTATTATGTGATTATAAAACAAGAAGTTAAAAAAATAATATTGACATATACATACACAACTCTTTTCTTTTTTTGGTATCCAGATATCAAAATAATCCAGAAACAAATGACAACTGACATGATATCAAAACAGTAAAATAGCTGAAGGTCTTTTGCATGTAAAATAGGGACTCTAGCACTTCAGCATTTTGGGCTTTGAGTTGCTTTGCTTGAGGCTGTCTCTATTGAGAATCCATGACCATGATGTGAACAAAGAGTGAGGTAGAAGAGATAAGGTTCCCATTCTTTTTCAGCAGAGGAACATGTCGATACCCTGAGGAGAGAGAAAGATTACTGAGATCTTTCCGATTCAACACACTGTAATACATACACTGCTTGTAACATTGGTACTGGACGTGGATGGACTTCCTGAAGTCTGCAGTTTTGGTGAATTTGAAGTATTTCCCTGTTCAGACAACAGTGTAATATATTCTTTGCAGATTTTCAACTTTTGGGATTTTTCTTATACATTTAAATACATTTTAAATACATACATTTATAGGAAGTCTGGACGTTTACTGAATGTTGGGTGATGTTTTATATAAGACATAATGACACAGTGTGTGATTTATCTGTCACATGAGGTTAGGTTTATCTACTGGTAGGACTAGATGAAGGTCAGATATGGCTTAATATGTAAAACCACAGAATTGTAAGGGGGTGTACTTTCTTTTTCACATCACTGTCAGTGTATGTACTTGTTGAGGTTTAAATGCAAATGTAAAAGTTTTTTCTAGATGTAAATTTAATAGTAGTTTTGGATCAAAGCCCTGAATTTCTTACAAATATCAACGCCATTTTGATTGAATCTAAGATTGATGTTATTTAGATGTTGCTTTGAACTTCTTGACATTAAATTTAATTCAGTATTTCGTTTGGATCTTCATAAGTCTGAGATAGAGATGAGATACTGTATACAGTGTGGATTTTGAGTAGCTTGCCTGGCATTGCAAGACTGCCCAGATCCCCCTCTGTTTTTCAAGGATTGAGGCAGGGAATTGCTGTAGGGGTGTAGATGGGGTGGTGGGAAGGGTATGAAAGATATGTGCTACAGGAATCCCTGGGTGAGAGACTTATATATGCAGGCAAGCAGAAGTGTGAGATCTATGTCTAACCATCTTCCCAAATTTCAATTAGAACTTTGTCATAATTATGTCATAATTGCTCCTCACAATTACTCTTAATTAATTAATCAGAACTCAGACCCTTTGTTTTTCAATCAGCCCATTCCATAAAATGTTACTGATTGTAGTAGAGAAACATTGCTATGTACACAAACATCTTCGTCCAGAAGCTTTAACGCAGTTCATCGCCGCAAAAGCTCTTACCATTCTGTAGACTGGTGAAAGGCAGAGTATACTGCCCGATGAAGTCATTGTGAGAAGCAACATCATGATCCTCCACCACAAAGCGCAATAGAGCCAATTCTGGGACGCAAACCTTAAACCTGAAACTCTCATTCCACATGGGATTCAGTCCTATTAATACAGACAAAAACAGGAAAAGGAGACAATGGAGAAAAAAATACTAATCAGTGCCCCTCAAAATATTCTTTATATTTGACACTGCAGATTCAGGAATTCAATTTTTTAAACATCCTTTTCTCTTTCTCTCTTAACCACAGTATGATAATACAGTATATGTATAGACACTAAGGGTTTCCAATGTAAGACCATTCTGATAACAGATTTTAAATATTGTGTCTAAAATCTATAAATAAAGTAGGCCACACCTTATAATCATGGCCTTAAATCCTACTGAAAAACCTGAGGTTCCTCAGAGCTCTGATCACATGTAAAGGGTTAAGATTATGGTCATGGTCGTGACAAGGACAGGTCTGTAGACTTCGGTTCTGGTCAGGGCTTCTACATGTTCAGTGACAGAGCTCAGAGGAAATGCAGTAAGGATTCAGTTGTACAACCTTACAACCTTACTGTTCTGTAGTATTTGTGGCCATTATTGGAAAATTATACCATGTAGTCTAATATATCGAAGATAACATTTGTTTAAACCACATTGTCACTGGGTGAAGTTGAGTTTCTAATACTGGTACTTAACTTTGGTAGATTACTTGTTTTAGCCTCAAGTACAGTATCTGATCACTACTGTTCATCATACAAATGTGGTTTAGATATGCCTCTGTAAATAGTTGATAAAACGTATATTTGGTTTAGTTATCACTGTCATAATTTACATATTTTTGCATGAAATGTATTTCAACATTTCTACAATCTGGGTGCCTTATCCTGAGTAAACACAGAGTGCTCTCTCTGGAAGTGCTTTGTTTCATAAAGACAAGAGTTGTCTTCTATGAAAAAGGTTTACCGTTATTTTGAATATATTCAGTTTGTTGTTTCTGCTGGTCATCTGGAACTCCCTCTATCTGCACTTTTACAAGGGGGTCAACGATGGAGTTGTCTTTATTGTTCTTCACCTTGGGTAACTGCTGAGCTGAGATGATCTAGTGAAAAAAAACATCAAGCACATTTCTTTCTGACTAAAATAGTTTTTGTTACTGCAATCAGAATCCAGTAATGGATTTTATTTATTTTTTTCATTTTCTGTAGATTTAAAACAAAAAAAATCTAGACTTTGGCCTTCTGGCCTTTGGTTCTAGAATATTCTTGAGTCTAAATGCAGCTCGTGTGTCTAGGGAACTGTGTGTAGTTGAGCGATTTCTTACCATCACATGGAGAATCTTAGGCTTCAGCTGATGGTTCAGTTTCAGGTTGTAGGGATTAAACTGTGAAGATCTGTCTCGGAGAAATTCAGGCTTCAGGACATAGCCACAAAAACCGTTCTGCATGAACTTGCCTTGATTCAGATCCATCTCCTTGCAGGACGTTTGGAAGTTTAGGGCAACTGAAGAAAGAAATGCCAGAATGTGAAATATTGTAGAAATGCTTAATTGCAGATTTGAAACTACCTCCGTTCCAATGAAGGGATTTCTGTGCAGAAATGTTCTGTCTTTTGAGCCTCATCTCACGTTTAATGCGATGATGCTGCAATAAGCTACAGAATCCTTACTACACGATTATGCCAGAGACTACAGCATACCTACTACACAATAACACCAGAGGCTAATGTATATCAACTACACAACCATGCCTACAGCATTCTACAGCATACCAACTACACAATCATGACAGAGTCTATAATATACCAACTACACAGTTATGCCAGAGACTAATGGTTACTGTCTATACCAGTGGTTCTCAAACTGTGGTACGCGTACCGGCAGTGGTACGTGGAGTGCTGCCAGGTGGTACGCCAAATGACCCTGGAACTGTGTCGTGTGCGCTGAAAAATCGGGACGGGTTTTCATATTATTTATTTTAATACGTGTCGAATATGCAGCCTACGTACTACGATACAGTGCGCACTAATACTTCAGTGGACACAAGAGATACTCTGTAATTCTATACCACTCTATAGGAATGCGTGCTACGGATCCAAGTGACCAATTGTATTTAAAAAAAGCTACTGTATCTCCAGCAAATAGGGAGGTAGGAGAATGTGCGTGATTTTGGAACAATGCCAATGTTGTAAACACAGGAATGCATAGAAATATGTGCTACGAACGCAGGTAATCTTGTGAGCACACGAAAGTGTGATAACAGAAAAATATTAAAGAACTGTTCTAATTTGAGAAAAATACACCGAGCGTCTCTGTGTTTCGCTCCCATGCGCATGAAATAAAAACTTTAAATACGGAAAAATGGAAACGCAGAAAAATGCAAGCTTACGCATTGCTAAAGCAGGTAAGCTACACTATTTTTGAAGAACCTTATTTACCGTTGGCAAAAGAGCTGACAGTATTATGTGTAGAGAAAAGGCTGCTAAACAGCTCAACCTGCTGCCCCCCTCCCGCTGAAAGACACAGTCATTAATAGAATTATTGAAATGAAGGATTATGTCAAAAGTACACTGATAGAGCGCATTAAGATGAGCAGATGTTTTTCACTGCAATTAGATGAGTCTGTAGTCGATTTGGCCAATTTGCTCGTTTACGTTAGATACGAGTTTGAGGGGATGTCCCATGAAGACTTTCTGTTCTGTTAACCGCTACCAACAGGAACTACAGGAGAGCACATATTTCAGCTTCTGAATGAATTTATCGAAGAGAATGGCCTTGACTGGATAAAATGCGTCTGAGTTTGTACAGACGGTGCTAGAGCAATGACAAGCGGACATAATGGTGTAGTTGCACAAATTAGAGAGGTTGCTCCAGAAATTAATGTACGCATTACAACATCCACCGCGAGACCTTTGCCGTAAAGAAAATGCCTAACGATTTAATATCTGTTAGACTCTGTTGTGAATTGTATCAAGGCTCGAAAAATTAATTCACATCTGCTTTGCTCAACTAAACAGGCTCACCCCTCTCACTGAAATGGTGCTTTTTTATTAGTTGCTGTTAATGTTTTTTTTCTGTAATACATTTTGAGAAGCCACCTTTAAAGGCACTATATCAAATAAAGTTTATTATTAAAATATTTATTATATGTATGTGTGAGTGTGTGTTCACGCACATTGAGAATTTCTGGGGTTCCTATGAGATGATGACTTGTAGGTGGTACTTGGATGCTTTGTTTGGATTAGGGGTGGTACTTGGTCCAAAAAGTTTGAGAACCACTGGTCTATTCAATCATGTCAGAGTCTATAATATACAGTTCCAACTACACAATCATGACACACTACAGTATATTGACATAACGAATCAAGGCATTGGACTTTAAACATAATAGTCTATAATTGCCTATGCCAGATCATATCTTTCACCATTTTTCACTAATCATGCTGTCCTTCTATTCTTTTAAAACGGTGGAGAATTCGGTACATGTGAGCTACCAAAACGTTATATAATGACGCAGAATAAGGTCAAAGGAGGGTTTACTGGAACCAGCTAAGAGATGTTAAATGGGTCTAAAACTACAGTACTTATCTTAACATGTATTTAACTCAACAGAAGATTAACTAAAATACATTTTATGATTTATTTCTACGATTGCTGGTTTTCTTAGTCACAAGTTCCCCCATGTAGTTTTGCCCTATAAGCCCCATCTCTCTTCATGGCCTGCTTTCGTGTGTAATAAGTATTAAGCCAACCAAAGTTGCACAAATTTTACTACCCAAAAGTACTACCATGAAGTTTTATCTGAAAGAAATGCAGTCTTATTCTGTCATGGAAAAAAATGTTAAAGAATAAAAAGCCCCATCTGGGATTTTTTTTAATTACAAGAATTCAACAAGAAAGCATTTGTTTAGGTAATTATGTTCAGCATGGAATCCCCACGGAAGCCAAAGCTGATTCATGTCCATTTGAAACATCCACAGCATTTATGGCAATGATTAGTGCCTGAGAGGCAGGCCAGATTCCCATCATGCACTTGTCTCATAAAGTGTTATACAGTAAACTTCAGAGGAAGTGCACTGCTTTGAAGGCTTCTTCTGAATGTTGGCTAGACTACTGCTTATTATTGAAAATGGATTAACTCGTTTAATTTTCTCGCTGTCTCAAATTATGTTTCTGCTCGTTTAAATGATATTTTACCAAAACAGCACTGCATTTATGAGTGTAGGAATTTGAATATACAGTACATAATATAGGAAAGAGTGCTATAAAACCTCACTAGACATTATACTAAAACAACAGAAGAGACATACCTATTTGACAACCAACATTCCATAGATTAACAGGGTTATAATTGGATGAATCAGTTCTTGAGCCTGCTGGGTAGATTCTGCTTAGTTTATCAATGTTGTGACAAACATAAGCACTTGCTGAAAGAAAAAGAGAAAATATTTTTAAAACACAAAAAAAGTTCAAAGGGTGTGTAAATTCAAAAATTATTTTGAGAGAGTCACAGTACATAATGTTTCATAATGTTTTCTGTTTTATCTCTAGTTACATGCACTTGGGGAAATAAAGTGGTTACAAATTTTACACATCATATAATAATAAACAATACAGCAGAAATATAGTACAGTCTAGATATTAATAATTTGGTGCAGAGAACCATCATGAATAGCCAAATTTGCATATAACCAAGCCCTCCCCATACCGCTGCATAATGTACTACAGTATATAGTATGTACAGTATGGTTGAATGATATCAGTAACCTCCCTTATATGACAATTAAAGTACTAATGCGTTGGCTTTAAGTTAATTAAAATAACATGATCCACCAAAACAAACCACAGTGATTCCAATCATATTAAAATAAACAACATGGAACCCTCCTCTACCTCCAGCCTGGAGGGAATATCAATGATTGGAAGCTCCACTGCAATAAAAATGGCAGTAAGACTGAGAGTGAGCCTGTAAAGTTGCATCCAGCCAGTTAGTTCCCCATGATGCTAACACAGAACTGGCAGTGTCTGTTACAACAGAAAAACAAGGCACTTCACACTGGGAGCGGAAGCTGGGTAGTTGGTATCTGGGCAGGTGGTAGGGAGAGGCTGGATTCATCTCATGATCTCAGTCAGTTGCGCCGCTAATTTAAAAACTTGCGGATAACAACTTTCAGCTTGGTTCCATCCTGCTCTGCTCTTCTTTCATCCAAGACCCAATAAGCCGGACTGAATTGCAAATATTATTGTTCAAAGATGTCAAGCCTCTACTGTATTAAAGACTACAAAGGTTTAAAGTTCAGGTCTTCCTTGCCTATAATGCCATTATACAAAATTAAACCATGGTTTCCTAAACACTAAAATCCATTGACCTAAAAGAGCAAACAATTCACTGTTTTATCATTTTAATATTTAAAAAATGTTCAGTGCAATTTGATTGTGCATTACCTGACACTAGTGCTAGCTTTTCAGCTTTCCCTTCTTTGAAGGAAGCCATCTCGTAGAAAGATTGTTTTTCTCTTGCACTTTCAAACCCGGGGAAGTGAACACTTTTGCAGTAGATGACCAAGTCAGAAAGCTCTTTTGCCAGTTTTATCTTCGACCTCTGGTGAGAAAGAGGAAAGCTTTTCAGGAACAGAGTAATCTCTGCAAGATATTCTGATTCCCAAAGGAAATGTAAAAGCATGGCTAGGTAACATTTCAAATAGTTTAATGGTACTACAAATTTAAATACTATACTACAGTACATGTAAAGTACTTACCTTTTCCGTAAACTGTATAAACATTGACTCACACAGGTCTGCTTAGTGTGTATGCTTTTAATCACATTTTTATCTTTTTATTTACGCCTAACTTTGGAAATGTGGATGGTGAATATTCAACGAGGTGAATACAAGTTGATGTATTAAACAAGCTATACATTATTATTAAACAATAAACTATACAAAAAAGACCACCAGCTGCATAAAAAATTGATGTCAAGGACTTTTAATTTCAGAAAAGGATTTTGATTTATCAAAAAGGCAACCATTAGCAGAACATAATCTTAATAAGGAAATCATAATACTGTATGCTAGAAAACCTTCTTTATGGGCTAAGAGAAAAAGAAATATGAACTATAGGACAAAGAATCCAGGAGGAATCACAGCAACTTTCATGAGAAAAGTATAACAGTTAACAGTAGACTCGGCTATTGTGGCAAATTCACAAGACGCATATTAAGAAAGATATAAATATGTAATGTTTATATATATATAATTATATATAATAAAACATATAATTCTTGGTTAGGGATCTGTTATGTGTCCAAAATATATTTTTTTTTTACTTGAAATGCACACAAGCAAACTGGACAATTACAAGAAAAAGGTATGTTGATAAACAAGCTCAACACAGTGGCATTTAGAATGCACGATTCTATTAAGACTTAAAAATGTGAATAATCTATACCGAGTTTTTGTAAGATTATCATACAGCAAACACACCATATAATCCACTATACTGTAATACACAATTCATACAGTAAGCCTACTATTTCTGTTATGGTCATATAGTACTTTCCAGCCTCACCATAACCACCATGAGGCAGTGGCCACTCAGAAACAGTACCTTTGATGGCTTCTCTTTGGCTTGTTCCACCTTCACATCTGCAGCCTCATCCTCCTCTGACACGAATTCCTCTTCTATAGTATTGTCTTCAAAGAATGATTCCAGTTTGTTCAGCCGTTTCCCCTTGATAAGGAATTTGCCCTTCAGTTGCTGTTGGGAAAAAAAAAACATTTATGAACCTTCCAGGGACTTAAATATTTACTTGTACTATTAAAGCATCCTACTAATCTGATGATGACAGTAATGAGGGCGATTAACTAGTTTTGATATCACGAAACGATAATAAAATGACAGAAAATAACAAAATTTAATAAGGACATCACAGGGCCTAGCAGCCCTGAGAAATTGGGTCAGATTTCTTTAAGAATAATCTTTCTCTTTAATCTTTCAGTGTGGATAACATTTCTTAAATCTTGGAATGCAAAAACGAGTGTTTTAGTTCCTCTCCAAGGACGAACACAGCTCTCTTGAGAATGACCAGAGAAACGTTCACAACACTTGAACCCAGAAAGCCATGGCTTCCTCAAACGAATCTGCCTCATGCTTCAGATTTTTAATTCTGCAAAGGCATCCAATCCTGGAAGAACTGTACCAATAGAGACTGAATAACTTTACCCTTGAAACATGAAAAGGAGAATGGAAAACATGAAAGAGTGCTAAAAATACTGCCGTTAGCTACACACTAATAAGTGTACACGATTATTGTGAATAACATTCCTCTTCAATTAATGCTCTGCTTCCGTCCCTTTTCCTCCTGTTTTAAAATATCCACTTTAAAAAAACATGCATCTTCTGCAGTTAATTTTTTTCTAGTCTACAAATACATGCAAAGTAATACCTGCAGTCTCAATTTTTCCACATGTAGACAACAGCGCCTAGACTCCTGTCAATGCATTGAACTTCACACCACCCCTGGAAAGTGGATTATTCACAGGCTACAAAAATGTATGCAATATTGTACAATTATGTAAATGAAATCTTACTATAACTTTTTCATATTTGCTATAAATTGCACTTGAAATGGAAAATATTGATTGCAATGAGAATTGTGTAAAAATATTGCTCCACTGTACCAGCCTGTAACCTATAACATATGCAATTATACAGCGCCCACTAACTAGAAGTGTCTGACAGTTTGGGACAGAAGTGGCACAGCTGATTTTATTCTTTTTTGTAAGCTAATAACTACGCAAATAATCATTTCTCCGAAGAACTTTCAACCTTAAAAAATGTTTTTTTTTTTTATTACAGGCTGCAAATATTTCAAAGCTCATTCATCTAGCAGACAATAAGAACAATAAGAGTTTAAACAAAACAGATAGTTTAACAAATGTATGTTAAAAAGATACAAGTAATACAAGTATGTTAAAAACTATACAAGATTTCTCTTCAGCTCAGAGGAGTGTTGAGGGCACATGTTGAGGCATCAGACAGATGAAGTAATAACATTCTTAAAAGAATTCAAACTATTATATATATTCCGACAATTATGTTTTAAGTAAAACAGAAATATTAATACTTAAATGTCAAACATTTGGCATAAAAACATACCAAGCAATATGCTTTATTGTTATAAATGGAACTGAATAAATAACATTTAAAAATCCCATAAAATGCCTTTATTGTCCAAAAACACACTAATAATTAAATAATTGTTAATGTGACTTACACAATACTGTGTTTTAGAGTGTGTGGTTCACTAGTTGTGTGTGAGGCAGTGAGAGATGGCTTTGTGAGAAAGCCTCCTGTTAATTGGAAAAACCTGCAAAAGGAGGAACTGCTGGTCTGATTGAGCTGGTCTGAGGGAGTGAAGTTCCAGATGACAGAAAGCATCTGGTTTGATAGGCTCTGTGAGGAATAAGCCACTCCTCTGGGCTCATTATTTGTAATGGAGTGGACTGGCTTACAGACCTGTGGGCCTCAGTGAGTTAGAGAGGCTTGAGGATAATGCAGCCCAGGCTACACTGAAGGGGCTTTGCAGGTGCTGCACAGGCTAGTGAGGTTGATGTGTGCTGCTCAAGAAAACCAGTGTGTGCTTAACAGTGTACTTTCTTCCTGGCTGAGAGTAGATGGTGCATGTTGTCATTAGATAGGTGACCTCTGAGCGAGTATGAGAGAGAAAGAACTAACTGGCTGTGTCAGGGATACACATGTTAATGCAGTGGTAATGTGGAGTTTCTGGACAAATGTGATCAGCCAATACAGTTAGTGTAGATCTGGTGCTTAGGGAAGTGGTCAGCAAACTGCTAAAATGGAACTACATTTGTGATCAACTACTCAGACAAACAGTTTCCCAAGAGAATGTCCGGACATAAAAATGGGTCTGATGTTTGTTCTAATTTAACTACAAGGATTTACCACAGATGTTAAATAGATTTAATGGTGTACTGTCTATTTTTCATCTGTTCTTTTAAAGGCTTTTTAACACGGATGTCATGATTTCAAATTTCTCATGAAAATATGGGCAGGTTCACATTTTAATTTCTGAAAAATAAACTAATGGTAAAAGGCAAATAACATGTTAGCAAGGAATCAATAAGAAAAAGACAATGCTATGAGCAGAAATAAAGAAATAGAAATAAGATATATTTCTCAGAATACAGAAATGGATAGGAATTGGGTGGCTCAAAAAAGCCAAATACAATGAAGAAAGAACACAGCTGTGATTCCAAAAACCTCTTTTCATGTAAAGAAGTGTTTACGTTCATACTTGTCTTGTTACCTATAAAACTTCAAAATCTATATGGTCTACAAATACATACTCAACTCAGGCACAAAAGGTAAGAACACAGCGCTGTCTGACAAAACAAATAATCATTAAAGGTGGGTTTTTTCCCCCAGGAAAGATCATTTCCTGGATTTTTTTTTTCCCCCAGAAAAAAACTATTGGTAAAAGGTAATCTCACTTTTGTTTATTTTTCCAGTTCATAAACTCTCTATTGCAATACTGCAGCTCAGTAATCAAAGATGTACATATGGGAGATAAGGAGTGTCTCTATTCTCTTTGTATACCCCTCATGTCAAATAGCAGATCTTCAAACAAGCTGGATCACCATGCCAGCTCAGGAAACCATGGAGGGGACCATGTGCACCTTGCTCTGAAAAGAGTACTTCTACACCACCACTATTGCTCTGGCTTTCAGAAATAACACTGCAAGCTCAGCCTGCGATGTTGAGCTGCACAGCTAAATTAATCTTACTTTTTTTTGCGCTCGGATTCACCTGAAAGTAATTAATTTGCAAGTAAAAAAAAAGCTGTAGGTCAAATTCCTCTCCCCAATAAAAAAGAAAATGGGAGTAAAAACCAGCATGTACTCTGAGCCTCACACAGGATAAGGCAGAGTCTTGTACTGTATTGTCAATAATGTGATTTTTCTTCTAGGAGAATACGGTCTTCATTCTGCCAAGGATAATATTTCCAAATTTGTAAGCAAAAGCCAAACAGCTGCGGAATGTTTCTCATTCTTTACAGATGAGACATGACGCCAGGGTTATGTTCAAATGCAGGAAATTAAAAGTCCCCCTGGCACTTCTTCAAAAGACCAGAAGTTCAAACCTCACACTTATGGCCAAAAGCTAATTATATCTGATGAATTGTAGGTAAAATAACTTTCTCAGGATGGTTATCAAAGTCTTTTTAGAGACATTTTCACTGTCTAGCTGTTCTGACACAATATACCAAGCCTTGAGTGTTGAATGATTGATTTGAACTATTATAAAGAAAGGTCTCAAGTCTTTGACTTGCAAGTCACACCAGTGTTATTTATGAATTAACATCATAGTGATTGGCTGGGAGGAAGATGCCTAAATATATAAATGCTATGAGGTGGGTGTTATCTACATATAAATACAAACACTCTTTCTTCATCTTGCCTATAAGACGAGGTTGCTGAGATGCTTTACATACCAGCACTCCTGTTAAAAGTTGTAGAAGCAGTTATGCAATGTCAGGGTGTGGTTAGTACTTGGATAGGAGGTATTTAAGAATATTCAGGATGTTGCTGGAAGTATAGCTGTGGATGAAAAGATGGCACAGTGCTCTAAACTAATTCTTGAGAACCACAAAGAGAAAGTTGCACCTGGGGAAGTTCTCAGAAATTACATTGAAGGCCTTTCCTTGACTTTACCCACGACTGATTACAAATATTAAAATCTATGTTGGAAAGCATATGGGCATATTGTTAACATGTTTCACAACAAAGGTTAATAGACTTCAGTGTCTACATGTTTTAAAAGCATTATCATGAAGTATTCTCAAAGAGAAAAATTGTAATAAAATAATTGCTGTACA